TCCTTTATCGTTTCAGTATCAATTCAGGAACTGAATCCTAAAGTCTTCATTTCACCAATATTAAATTCTGTTTGACCAACTAAAGAATGCGTTAATTTAAGGTCCAATTTTCTATTTTTTTTTCTCGATGTTCTTGGAATTATTGATCATTTTTATTTTTATAGCAAGTTTAGGTTGAATGAATATGATACTATATTACTTAATATGTATGAACATCTTTACATTTTTAACAATTTTTAATATCCGTTTGGTTTTTGTTCTTTCGGACCACTTCCACTATCTGAACCACCTCCACTACTTCCCACATACGTATCGAATTCCTGTGCAAAATTCATATTTTTTGTTTGTTTTCGATGAGTCTTTATTCATTAAACAGTAGTAATAATTTACTATTTCACGGTTAACCGACAGAAATGAAGTATGATTTCTTTTTACCATAATCCATTACAAGCATATATATATATATTCGAATATCATACAGGTAGGTTGCAACAACAAAAAGAAACAGAAAAAACATGATAACAGCAACGTCTATTGACTAATTACTTTGGAATGTCAGATGAATATATTGGAAACAACCATATATGTATATATAGGTTAAATGATGATTCATGAATTGCATCAGGCAATAGAGAAAGGAGGAGAAATTGTTCAATTCTGTTATATCACGATACATTGATACTTGTTACGTAGCGTTTTATACATAACTTGTATTCTCCTTTGTGTCAGTGTCAACAATGAATTATGTTTTCATGTTTTATTAACAAAGATATTTACATCAGAGAACGAGAACATTACGTCAGAGAATGAGATTTTCTACGCTTCCTAACATACTACACCTAGACTTTCTTTTGTTCTATTTTCAGTTTAAAGTTTTAACAACAGTTGCTCAGGTATTAGTGTATACAACAAAGATGTTGTGAAGAGAAAGAGAGTTATTATTCGTTCTCTTATATACCACTTCGCAGAAAAAAAAGAACATGATGTAAACGTAATGAAATATTTTGCTTCGTGATAGTCACAGATATGTGATGATTTTTTTTCTACGAAAAAGAACGAAACAAAGTTCGAAAACATAGACTATTCAAAGCCATATATAAAGGCAAACATATGTCTTTAAAAAAAATGAATCAGAGCGCATCGGTTTTGGAGATATCTAAACAGTTTTTCATACAGACAATAAATGTGTTTACTCAAAATCATAGCGCTTTACAAAGTGATACATTATCTTTTTTTCAGCAAATGACACGTATAAGAGTTTCAACAAGTAACGGGAAACGGCTAAGCGGTTCCGTTAAGACTTTTTGCTCATTGACTTAGACTTAACAGCTAGTAGAATGACCATTTTAGAGAAAGCTTTTACACATCACTCGTTTTAAAATACTTTGAATAAAATTTCTTAATAAAACACGAAAAAAATTCAATAGTTCCCTTCTTTGCTCTGTCTCAACTATTTCACGTGAACATAACAAACTATAATTACCTAGGAATGCAATTCTGATATATTCTAACATTTTTAAGCTGTTCTGTAGAGTTCGTTAATGTATCGTTAATGTATTTTAATACTGAAATTATCGTTAACTGTGAAAATACGAAACTCTAAATTGTTACTTTGCCGACTGAGTATGCAAATATGTTCGAATCACCCCTCGAATACTTGAGCATACTCGAAACGCTTTTAGTGGTTACCTTACGAAAAGCTATCGCTATTGAATTTATAAAGCTCTTCCCTATCGTACATGCATTTGAGATATAAAAGAGAAATGCTAACCGTATAGGTGTGTGTATATTGAGTGTATTCTATGACGAACGTCTAGAAACTTATGGTTAGGAGAAGATATTCAGTATACCCTTCCCCTCTGTCTTCTAAGACTATAGACATCAGAACAATTTCAAGACAGTCGTAGCTTCAAAGAAAAGAATTTGTAAAACAAGGAAGTTCACAAAACAGGCATATTTTACAGAAACATACGCTGGAAGACGTCTTAACTTACCTTCTTCTCTGTCCCAAGTGCCAGTTTTACTCTCTTATCCACCCGGTTATTGCTCTTTATTAAATAATCCTGAGTGTGAGATCGATTTGGGCCCAAGACTCGCTCTATTTAACATATGTTAGTGATTTAGGAAGACTTTTTGACGTGCTTACGACCGAAACTGCATATGTTTTAATGAATTTTGAAGCTTCGATAAAACTGTCAACTAAAAAGCATGAAAACGCCTTCACGGTTTTCCTCTTCACGCTTTTATTTGCATTGTTTTCCTTTGACAAATTGTCAGTTCATAATTCTATTTCTACGGTTTTGAGCTTTAAGATATTTTTTCATGGTTTTTATGTTATAGTTCTTAAACTAACGGTTTTATTTTAGAGTTTTTCTTCGATGGTTCGAAAGTGGACGGTTTTGTTTTTATGATTTTAACCTTCACAGTTCTACTTCTACAGTTTTTCTTTTATAGTTTTGCATTTTACGGTTTTCATAATGTAGTTTTTTGCCTCATGGTTCTTCTACACGGTTTTCCTTCGATGATTATCGATTTTACGATTTTTCTTATGTTTTTTCTTTCATCGTGTAGTTATCATTAACAAGTCATTGTCGCATCCTGAGGGTGTCGATTAGAACTAATGACACCCTCAATGGTGGCGATAACGCTACCCTTAAGTTTTTTAACTTTTTTTAGTTCTGCAACAATTGCTCAAAATCTTGGCTATCGAATAAAGCATAAAGCATACTGTATTTTGGAAATTTTAATAAGTTCTTTTTGTTAGGATTACTGTTTGTTCTTTATTATGCTAATATTAAAAAAAAATATTTACAGTTAGAGCTCTAATTTGAAGATTGTTTCGTTTTTCAAGAGAATGGTTTCTGACATAGTGGAAAACAGTGATCTACACAGTTTTTAATTGCGCCGCCCCTAATCATATATTTTTTATCTTATTTTTTAGATGGACAAGTTTTGACTAGAAATCGGCAGGATCCTTTGTTCCCTTCTTATGTTTTGTTTTTCTTGCAAAAGAAAAGTCATTCTCGTTCATATCCATGAATAGGATATAAAAAGAGTGAAATCGGCAACTTTGATAATAAGAGCCATTCATGAATGTCTTGCTGTCATTAAGAATGTCATGTAGTCATTTTTTCATATTGAAAAGACGTACTTCTACGTTATTGATATTCTAATAATGTGTGCAAATACACAGTGTGCATCCAGGCTAGCGTTTGGTGAAAAAACGAAAGTCGAAAGCTTCGAAATTTGGATAACAGGTCCTATACTGCGGCAAACGCTCTATCTCTTTGCCATTGGAAGTTTTTTCTAGGTGCCAACCTTAGTGGGAAAATCGCCTAATAAAATTGGACCGAAAACAATAGCGCTGTCGAAAAACTGAGCTATGTGCAAAATTAGGGCAGTTCGTTAATAAAGCAAATACATATTCAAAATCTGCGGCAAATTCTCTATCTATTGCTAGAAAAAGTTTTGCTCGGAAGTCTTTCGTACCGAAAGCAGCAACCATTCTTTTTTAAGCAAGCGGTTTTTCCAAAGGTGTCTTCAGTATAGTGAGTGCGCACAATATTGCCCAGCTCCAAATTCGACGAAAATTTCACACAATATTTTTTTTAGGAGTTTTAGATTAATGTGGCGGCAAACAATCCTGGGATATCAAATTATATGATAAATACACATTAAGAATAAAGGTAAGTTAAACTTCATAATTTGAACCTAATTGGAAGCCGATAGATGATAAAAATACCTCAGAAAACCTCTAAAAAGCCGTTCTGACGTCATTAATGGACTCTACATATGTAAAAGTCTATAAATGACGTTTTTGCACAAAAAATGTTTTCTAGAAATCTCAGAAGGTTTCCCAGAAAACCTTATCTGAGGTACCTGGACAACTTTTGATCTCACCTTAGGATGAGAGCATGTGCTGAAACCTATTTTCACACATTTTCAGACAAACTGAGTGAGTAAATCTGAAGTTACAGCTCATGCTCGCCTGCTATGCGAAAAATGCACACTGTGAAATAGTGGAAAATAGGACAACTTTAAATTGACTATATTGTGAAAATAGGATTTTCACAGCAGTTTTAATAAACTAATACTTTATATAGAGCTGCTGTGAAAATCCTATTTTTACTTCGTTTATTACCCATCAATAAGTCTAATGACTATGTTGTGTCATAGAATGATGAAACTAATCTTTTCCAAAGTTTGTAATACATTTATTTTTTTTCTGTTTAATAGAAACATTCATTACAAGAAAATATTTATTGTTACCGACTATGTTCGTCATTAAAAGATGAAAAATTAAAATCTTAAAACCTTTCTGAACAAGAGACTGTTTCTGTTTTATTTAAATATTATATTGATAGGAATTTTTGCTCAGTAAATTACATAACTATGTCATTTCAAAGCTGATTTAAGAATAACCTGTTAAAAGATGTATAAGGTCAAGTCATGTGAATATTTTTACATCTAAATGACAGAAAGAGATTCTCAATTACTACATCAATAAATCACTTTGAACATGTCATCCAACAATTCAATAATAAACACACTAAATTTTGTATCTCACTGTGTTGCTCGTTATACTTTAATCGTTTTATTTGGACTTGGATTTTTACTTGGTCTTACTCTCAATACTCTTGTATTTACACGCAAGTGTTTACGTAAAAATGCTTGCACATGCTATTTATTGGCATCCACAATAGCCAATTATTTTGTTGTCTGTTTTACCCTACCAAGTCGTATTTTATCCGACGGTAATATTGATCCTGGAACATATTCTCTAGTGTACTGTAAATTTCGCTTTTATATCTATTATACATGCAAATCTCTTTCCTCATGGTTCATTGTTCTAGTTACTATCGATCGCTTTATGTCCAGTTCTCGTAATTTCAAATATCGCCATTTTAGCCGTTTATCTGTAGCTTGATGTACTATTGTAATTACAACAATTATTTGTATATTATTCTATTCTTATATACTCATCGTTTACAATAACACAAATGGTATTTGTGATGCAGTAAAAGGTCTCTATAGAATATTCGATGATGTGTGTTAGCTTGTGGGTTACAGCATCATGCCACCAATATTAATGAGTTTATTCGGTTTTTGGACAATCTATAATGTACGTCGCCTAAGACGAATTGCACCTAGAACAACAGCATCCAGAATTATTGTATTGCCAAATAAAAATCAACAATTAGCATTTATATTATTATTTCAAGTTATATTCATATCACTGACAACTGTGCCACATGCAACTGAAAAACTATATAATACGTTAATATCCAATACTGTTAAAAGTGATCTTGTTCTTGCAAGAGCCAATCTTTATTCCGAACTGGCTCGTGCAATATCGTTTACTAATCATACATGTTCATTTTATATTTTAACTCTGTCTGAAAAAATGTTTCGTAGAGAATTGATAAAAATGTTTCAAGACATTAGACGTTATTTTATGCCTTGAAATACAAAAATCAGATGTATTTCATTAAGAGGTAGTCAACCAAAGAAAATAGCAAAGCATCATCATGTATCATAGAACAAACCTTGCTGAATTGTTATATCACTTTGTTCATCGAGAGTCGGATATAAAACCCACATTCTAGTGAATTCGTTTTACTAGCTCTAGTCATGTATTTAATGTTCTAATTTTATTTTTATCTTTATTTAACGTTTATCGTTTACTGTACAAATTTTCAATTCTACGTTGTGGAAATGTATTGTACGTGAAAGTAAACTCAAATGAATCAGATTCAGAAAACTCGTTCAAGCAAATAAAATTTTACTTAAAGAACTGATTATTTGCCTAAGGTGCTGAAGTTTTACGAATGGCTCTATTGCCATTGCCAAGGGAGCTATTACCACCATTTGAGGATGGCGGCAAGTACTATTGACACTGTCAGAGAGCGCCAGTAAACAGTATATGACACTTCTGGAAGTATGAACTAGCAGCTAGTCGATACTTCTAGAGGTGTCAACAGCGTTTACTGCCACTCTCAGTTGATGGTAATAGTCATTCCGATTTTCATAATATCTGTTAGAACAAGAGTAACTGGAAGTTGTAACACATGAGACCATTACAAAACACAATCACTCGTCCATTTTAGGTGTTATTAAATCATATTTGGACGAGCATAACAAATGTGATGTAAATAAGAGCTCGTCGTCTCCTGGAAAACACATGAACCAGTTATTTTATTCTTCAGGAAAATATTGTTAGTTAATCAACACACATGAGGATCTGAACTTTTAAAATAATCTCTCGACTTCATATTGATGAAATAGTTTCCAGAAGAATCCTTTAAAAGACTAACGAGTTATAAATTCTCTTTTATTACCGCTCAGAGGTTCCCACATTTTCCCAGCTTGACAAACTGCCCAAACTATGACAGACTGTTCTGTCTGTCGGTTATATTTGTGGTTAACGCCTTAACGCTCCATTTTGTTCGAATCGAAATATGGCTTTTTTCGAAAATAATCTGGTTTGAGATATAAGATTCTATTTTATCCATTTTAAGACCGTTTGCAATTAAAACAAATATCATATTCAGGATTAGTCCATCAAAGTGCATCGAATCCTGCGTAAATCCACAGTATTCTGATGAAAATAATTTTGCTTTTGATCTCTTCTCTCAGGCAATGGCAAGAACATGTTTTTTTTTCTCAAAAAAACGTTTTTTGGTTTTTGTAAAAAGATATTTTAAGCAATGGATAAGTATAGTAAAGCAGCCGTAAAAAAGTTGTCTCCGCTGTGCTGTATGTACTCGCACGGATGAACTCAATTAACCCGCGTGAGCATGATAAAGGGAATATAATAGTTAAACTATTATATTTAATAATAGTTAAACTATTATATTTCCTTTATCATGCTAAATATTCAAAACTATTATAGTTTTGAATATTTATCGTAACGTATGAATACATGCAGATAGTTTAAAAGAGCTTAAAACTGAATAGTTCCTAGTGTTCATAGAATTTCAGCAGCTATTCATCCATGAAGACCTAACGGGGAGCAGTGATTTTCGATTTTAGAGACAAACACGTACCACTATTGAGCGTCATTAAGTTTTGCATCAATCAGCCATTAACATCGTTCCCAGCCCTGATCATAGTTATTCCTGGTTACTCTATACTTGACTCAATTGATTTGTTTGTCATTTAACCGACATTATTTGATGTTACGAAATTGTTTCAATCAACATCTATTATTAAACGAAAAATACAGAAAAACGTAACATTAAATATTAATATTTTATTTATGACAAAAAAGAAAGTTTCAGAAAAAACAACAACTTTATTTTACTTTTGCTTCTGATGTCTATCTGGTTGAATTTAGCTTTCATGTCTATTCATATTGGCTTTAGATGAATACACATATCAGTTCGAACAAATTGAGTAATATACTGGAAAATGTTTTTCTTTATCAATTGTATAATCTGAACGTGCATTAAGTTCACCATGCATTAGCGAATGTAGGTATGCACTAGTTACAGCTTTTTACCAGTTAACTGTAACTGTGAAAACTGCAACTGTCATAACTGTAGGTAAATATTCTAGGGAGATTAGTCTTGTACGATTTGCATACATGTTAAGGATGTGTCTGCTCTAAAAATGTATGCAAATCGTAGAAGACTAACTCACTCTAGAATATTTACCTACAGTTATGACAGTTACAGTTTTACAGTTAACTGTAACTGGTGCATGCCTAAGCGAATGACATCGCTCAGGGAAAGATTCATTCATAATGGTTATTATTCGTCAACTAAGTTTTGGAACTGGAAAAAGACTTCCTCAATTAAATCCAGAATTAAATTTATTTATCGGTAGGACTTTATGAATCCATGAAATTGTGTTTGTTGCAGCTGACTGATCCATTTTATTATCATTATGAACTTTGGATTATAAAATCTAAAATATAATAATCTGATGATAATTATTTTATAATTGAAAGCTCATAATGATAATAAAATGGATCATTCAGCTGCAACAAATACAATTTCATGGATCCAGAATTAAATCCTGAATTTCAACTCAACAGATTTTCATTATTAAATTGTTGGTTCCATAGTTAACAATCTCACTAGAGTTTGTCTCAGCCTCGCGAGAGTTTTTCACTAATACAACACTTTATTACTTATTTCCAACTTTTAAGTTAGCATTTTGGTATTTCATGCGTTTGTTCAAAGGAAGGTTTGAAAAGGTAAGCTGGAGTTAACTCACAAGTGTATACTTAGTAACAGAACTGACTGACTCATTTTAACTTCAAAATACTTAACGTTTGTCATTGTTGACATCGCTTTTTTGTAAAAGGTCACTATACGTTTCAGGTTTAAAGTTTATTACTTTACGCTAGAAAAACCCTATTTTTGTTAACAAAAAAAAAAAATTGAATTATATAAGGGATGAACCTCTCTAACAATCTTAGTAGTTCTTCTAGTAGTTGCCTTCTATATGTGAGTGCAGCTATAGATACAAGAAATAAAAAGTAAAGTCATTAATCCACACGTCGTCATTTTTCCCTTGATAATTTCTACGACAAAGTTTTATGCTTTAAAGTGTGGCCCATAAGTCCTGACTCGATTTGTATAATCATTTTTCTAAAGTAAAACACATGTTTGTAAATTTCTCTCTATGATGACAAGACGCAGTAAAACACGCTCTACAAAATGGCTTTTGATTGACCCCGCTAGCTCATATAGTAAGAA